TTTCATTTGACGTCACAATCAATAGCTTTAATATTAAAGGCACACAACTATTGCCTGTACTGTATATTCACTGCATATTCACGTGCGCTGTAAGTGCTGTGTTGTGTGCGCACAACTCCATACACCACTCCCTCCCCCCACAACTCACCCCAACCCCAGCCCCCCAATAGTGTATACCATTGTATGGCTTGCGTTATGTAAGCCTCAAAAGTCATGTGAGAGGAGAGGACTAAAAAAAAGTTTTTCAAAATTTTTATTTTTCAGTCCTTTTTCAGTGCATAATATTATACGCGCTCTTAAAACAGCTTTTTTGCTCACAAATTGTCTTTTATGTTAACTTTTATTAATGAGTTATAATTTTTTTGTAGTTTTATTTGTTTTATTTAACATTATATGAATTTATAAACTATATGGCCCTCAATCAGACCAGTCATATGCTTTGCATATGACTGGTGGCAGTCCTATGGATGGCCTGTAGGCTCTGCCCTACGGCTGCTGTGAGAGAGGAGAACCCTGAAAGGGATCGCCAGTTGTTTCCTCTGAACGCAACAAAGAGTACCTTTGGATACAATAAAAACTAAACACAATAAAAATATATGCGAATATTCTATAGATAATAGTTGACAACAACAGCACAATAGATCTCGCAATGGATAACGTTAAATGAAAATGAGAGTAAAAGTTTTGCATATGTTTGAAGCCATGGTTGGGCACAATGTTATGGCCACTGATTTCGCTGGTCATCTGCAATACTTAATCGTTAGTTAGTTTGGGATAATGAATGTCATTAAATTAAATTGAATTGCTGTGCAAATGTTGCCAACCAAACAGCACATCCAGTGTGGGGTAGGGGTGGGGCGGGTGACAGTCGGGGGCTGTTGTGGTGCGCAATACTGTGTCGATTCAAATGAATATCATATGATTTTGTTGATTACAATTTGCGCCATAAGTCCATGTAATACAACACTTTTAACACACACTACAATATAAAGTATAGTTTTTTATATAAAACATAAATACACTGATATTTATTGAGATAAGAGTCGAAGAGTCAATGAAATTAAAGGATTAATGATTTATAAGAAAAATATAAACACATTTATAATTAAATAAATTACACTTTCGTATCGTTTACTTATCAAAATTAATTGCTTATAATGAGTGAAATATAATATAAATAAAAAACATAATGTATTGGAAAAATATTCAAAGTTAATGAAATAAATTATTAAAAACAATTTTAAAACATATGTTTATACAGTGAAAGTGAGACAATTTGCGTCAATTATAACATTAAACCACTTATTTTCGTTTTCGTCGAAAAGCTTATTTACAAACAAATGTAATTCAAGTCTTTGAACATAAAGTCACTTCTGGAACAGACCTGTAAATTGCAAACAAAATTAACATTTACTTTTTCTATATCATTAAAAAGCATAATTATGTTTCAAACCAAACTCTAATACTATTAATAGTTTGAATGTAAAGTTATTTTCAAGTACTTATCAAATATATTCCTCGTACTGTTGTTAGGGTTTCATAGTTTTGATTATTGAATTTTTTTGTATGTTTTTAGGCATATATTTAGTAAATATTATTTACACAAAAATGACAGAAAAATATAAATTTTAAACACTATTTGGTGTAAATATTATTCACATAATAAGATTAATTTGTTTATTAATAGCATTTGATGATCAGGAAAGGGACAGATAATCATTGGCTTCTTATGGCAATTGTGTGATTCAAGGGAAGGGTTGGAAACAGAATGTAATAAAACTTATTATCTATTATCTAAGTTTACATAACATTGCAAACAATCTCTTACTTCTACTCAATTTGAACCAAAAATAGAGGCCTCTCTATGTGTTGAGTATCTGTTACTAACACAAAAAGTTAAATTTAATACTTACTACACATGAAACTGAGATGTTATTAAATCCAACGTTCGAGCAGTCGTTTATGAGATCAAATTT